ATACCATTCCATGCACACACGCATGCACGCACACGGACAACAAGCCGAATGCAAACCGTAGGGTTGCACCAACACATAGCAGCAAGGATAGCATCATAGTCTAGGTCAAAGATAGCAACTCTAGACCTAAGCAGCTCTGCCCAGCAGGGGCGCTCGGCCTCGTCACCAAACTCTGCGCGCCAAGCGTCGTCGAGGCGGGAGAAGCAGCGGTACTAAGTGTGAGGCTTCCCGCATGTCTGACGAGCACGGTCACCCGTGCGAATGACATACGGGCAGCTACCACTACCCCCAGACGCCCCACGCTGAGCAAACCACTCACGAAGCTGCTGGGGCTACGGGGTCTCGCTCCGTCGCTGCTGCTGCTGCCTCTGGCCACCACCAGAGCCTCCCCGCTGAGTAGCTCCAGCCCGACCTCCACCGCTCCCATTGCCGCCACTACCGCCACCCCCACCGCTGCCACCACCGCCGCCACCAGAGCCCGCACTTCCGCCACCACTCCCACCACCGCCACCACCTCCACTGCCTCCACCAACTCCACTGCTGCCCCCCCCACCACCCCCGGTGCCACTGCCACCACCCCTGCCACCCTTGCCCTTGCTGGTGCGGCGATTCCCACTAGCAGAAGCAGCCCCGACATCCTCAGCACCAAGGACGCCAACAGCAGCAGCAGAGGCGTAGGAGGGGCCAAGGGGTGAGGGGGAACACCCCTCAAAGAAGGGCGTGCGAGGAGTGCCATGAGCGGCACCTACAGCGACTACACTAGTCTCAGCTTTAAGGAGGTGCTGCTCGAGTAGGTCAACGGTGAGGGCTGTGGGGTCAAGTGCGAGAAAGTAGTCCCTGACTGCGCGAAGAGAGTCAGGGAGGCGGGTGACTATAAAGTAGAGAGTGATGTACATCGGGGGCGGGTTCCTCTCAAGGAACTCTGCTGGGGAGGGCACCGCGGTAGCGAGCGTCGCTAGTGTGAAGGTGGGTACCGAGGTCCTCTACCATGGCAAAGGTGGACAGGTCGGGAAACAGGTAGGGCGGTAGAAGACGGCCTAGAGCAGCACTGGCAGGTGAGGAGTAATGGGCAACTACAGCGTTGTACAGTGCCTATGCTGTCCTGTGCTGTCCGAAGTGAGCGCATTCGGCCAATGGCAGGTGGTTGCGAATGGCTAAGCGAGCAGCAGCGTCACGAGTAAGCCACTGTGAGCGAGTCGCACTGTCAGCTGTGGAGGGAGGGACGGGAGAGGCGCCAGACGTGTGGTCAAACAACGAAACGCTGTCTCTAGAGTCGCTCAGTAGGTACAGGTGTAAGTCGTCGAGCCACATGTTGAACTGGATCGGTCGGCCCTCATGATTGAACGCGAGCACGCGAAGAGAAGCCATAGCGGCTCAGCACGCAGGGCGGGCAGGAGCCGGGCAACGCAAGAAACAGGGCAAGCAGCAGCAAGGGGCGGCAGGCGGGCTGCAAGTGGCGGCGCGCAGGCTACAAGAGGGGCGGCTCGTGGGCCTTGGGGCGGCTGGCGGGCCTAGGGGCGGCGGGCGGGTCGCAAGGGGTGGAGCTCGGGGCTGCAGGGGCTGCGAGAGGGCCGCAAGGGGCGGCGAGCAGGGCAGCAGGGGCGGCGAGAGGGCCACCAGGGGCGGCGCTCGGGGCTGCAAGGGCGGCTCGCGGGCTGCAGAGGCGAAGGGCGGGCCTGTAGGGGCGGCGCGCGGGGCCTGGGGTCGACGGGCAGGTTGCAAGGGGCGGCGCGCGGGGCAGCAGGGTCGACGGGCGGGCCTGCAAGGGCGGGCGCGCGGGGCCTAGGGTCGACGGGCGGGCCTGCAAGGGCGGGCGCGCGGGGCCTAGGGTCGACGGGCGGGCCTGCAAGGGCGGGCGCGCGGGGCCTAGGGTCGACGGGCGGGCCTGAGTGGGCGGGCGCGTGGGGCCTAGGGTCGACGGGCGGGCCGCAAGGGGTCGACGGGCGGGCCTGCAGGGGTGGCGTGCAGAGCGTAGGGTCGACGGGCAGGCCTCCAGGGGCGGGCGCGTGGGGCCTAGGGTCGACGGGCGGGCCGCAAAGGGGCGGCGCGCTGGGCCTAGGGTCGACGGGCGGGCCGCAAGGGGCGCCGTGCCGGGCCTAGGTGTTATAGTCTGCAGTCCACTTAGGGGTCGCGGATGCCCATGAAACCGCCTAAGCAGAATCTGACGTCTTCAAACCGCCTCTGTTCAAAACGCCGTCACGATCAGCTCCGAGAACATACGAGGCTGAAACTTGAACAGCGGTTAGCCTTAGGTGTCTGCTTTCCAACGGTATATTAGTTGCTATTATCAGAGGTGTGTGCACTACGCAGTGAACGAAAAACGTAAGCTCGGCTGAAAAAACGTGTATTCTCATTGATGCAAGGAAGAGGTGAGTACAACATTGCCTAGGGGACTCATGAGGGGTTGGGTCATCCTGGGAACTCAGAGAAGGTTGAGTCCTAGGGGAGAAAGGCTAGAGAAGAATGGGAAACGTCCTAGCTAGGTCAGCAAAGCCAACCACACTTGGATGTTCAGAGCTGTACTCAAGGCTACCAATAGTGAGTCAAGCCAACATGAGTCAGCTTGTCTTCCCACTTGCACCCTCTTGCAAGTTGCTTCCAGGAAGACCACACTTCTCAAAAGGAGGGTTGTAGAGTCCCACTTGACCACCTGTACTTCTTGTCTCATTCTCTGTCCCTGCACCATTGGCATGACAACAATGAAAGGGTGGCAAGGGAAATGCTGCCAACAGTGCACCATGACTACGGAACAGTGAATTTCGGCAGCTGTCACGCAATGCTCAGATGTTGGATCGTTCTGAAACTTGGTGACCACTTGCACAGCGGGGCAAAGGACTTCCAGACCGAATTTCAGACCAATCAGATCTCGGTAGACGAGTCAGCAGCCGAAATGGTGAACTCGGGTGTTACCAAAAAGGAGTAACACACACTTCCGGGATGCCATAAGTCTTGAAACATAAAATGTTGTCATGCCTTGGTAACTGCTTCAAAAACTCTGAAACTTTGAGGGTTTGAAGAACACGTGTTGAACAACCTCCCCACAAAATTCCAGAAGCTGAGCAGGCTTGTAGGCTGAATGGGAGTGCGATGACCGTGCCACTGTAATGTGTTGGCACAACACTAGGGGCTACGGGTGGGCCGCAAAGGGGCGGCGCGCGGGGCAGCAGGTGCGGCACGAGGGCGGCAGATGGCAGGGCGTGAGACAGCATGGAAGCTAGTGGGGCAGGTCTGTGGTGGGCCCTAAAAAAATCGGTCTTAGCAAAGGACCTGCTCTGAAACCATGTCAAACTAACGAACGAGAATGAATGAACTAGCAAAGAGTTGGGTACAAGTACTAACCCTAATTGGGTTGTGCCCCTTATGAGTTTGACACGTATACGAAATCACCACACTCCGCGCCGAACAGGAGCAGATTCACGCTGCGCTTCAACGACTCGAGGTGTTGATCGCGAACCAGACAACATTTGCCACGGCAACAGTGAACACAGCTGCAGCGACGGCGGCGACACCGACATTGCGACCTGCAGCAGTGGCACCAGCTATAGTGAATCTCGAAGCTGCTCGTCCGGAGCTACCGGATGCGTTCAATCCGAGCGCGTAGGGAACCGAGATTCATCTCTACACTCGAAATATATTTCGAGGCTGTCGGATGCACGACCCCGACGTACGACGCGATGCGGATTCGGCTCACAGCGACGCTGTTACGAGGCCCGGCACTGGGGTGGATCTACAATATTAGTGAAGTACGGGGTGAGGGGTCGTAGGCACAGTTTTGGGCAGCCCTCATTGAACATTTCGAACCAATCAATATTTCGTACACCGGCACCGACAATTCGACAGTGTGGCGCAATATACGCAGCAAATGGAAAACTTCTTTAATCGAATCGACAACCTGACCGAAGGGGAAAAAATCCAAGCGTACATTTTCGGGCTGAAAAGACGAAGTTCGCCGACGGGTAATTGCGGCGAATAACAGCAGCTTTAGGGACATTGTGTATGCTGCCGAACGTTTCGACGCGTTGACCAAGGGTCAACACGACGCAACGTGCCAAACATGAATTTTGGTATGGAGCGATCGGCACCCCCCACGACCACCGACCTGATGGATATCGACAAAGTCGACGCGCAGCAGCGGCCAGAAAAGCATGAAACATGCTGTCACCGCATATGCACTTTATGCATATGCAATAACAGTAGTAGGGGGGTAAAGGAAGTAGAATAACTGTATATGCATCTCAATAGAATAATGTGTGGTGTAGAGTATAGTGAGGTTACTGTTTGACTAGGTGTAGAAAGAGGGAACTGATTAGGAGCGGTTGTGGAATAGGGGGGGGAAAGCATCGAAGGGAAAAATGTGAGACGAAGGGCGAAATGTGTCCCAACCCCGAGCCGCGCATTGGGAAATGTGCAGCATGGGGCTGGGCTAGGTAAGGTCACGCACTCACCTGTACTCGTTGCTTGTTTTGTGTTATTCTCTCGCATCAGTAGAAGTTGGCTCTCTAGCTCTTAGCATACAGTGGCACGCTACCAGGAGGGAACCAGTGGGGTGAGGGAGTGATCCCGTTCATAACACAAAACAAGCTTAGACGCGTAGAATGGATAAGTATGAGTTGCGCTGGGGTAGAGTCTTCAGCCGTTGAGATTAGGAACGGCCGCGGCCGGGGCGCTCAGAGGAGCGTGGGCAGTCCCTAGAGCGATCGCCCAGGAGGCCAGCCTTCCGCGTGGATAGGATTCCCGTCGAGCTGGACCGACGAGAGAGAAGTTCAGCGCATGACAAAGTGAGCGGCACAAGGTTTGCCGCGTCGACGAGCAGCGCGCCGTGGCGGAGAGATACGTTCCACCTGACCGAAGGAGAGCACCGTCATCACCGCGGCAACGGGGTGTTCCGCTCCCCGGAAGAAGGGGGGTAGCGACGTGATGAGAGAGGTCGCTGGCGGGGACGAGAAGAGCCCTTGCGCGACCGAGGAGAAGGCTCTGGCGTCAGCAGAGCCGAGGAAGCTTCACGGGCCGACCGGACGCGGGAGGAGACGCATGGCGACAAAGCGAGGGACAAGGGAGACGAGCAAGAGCACGTCTACAAACAGGCGGGCGGGGACCATCACGTCCCAGTTGGAGCCGAGGAGGAGGAGCACGCGCCGACTAACGAAGCCGCCGACTCAGCTGAGGCAGCAAAAGAGGAAGTGGACGAGGTGCGCGCGGAAGGGACTCGCGCGGAAGGTCTCGACCACTTGGGAGGACACTGCTCACGCGACGCGCAGTAGCACGAGCGATAGAATCGAGAGGAAGGGGTGCGCACGTCGCAGATGCGGGGATCACGCGGAGGAAGAGAAGCTGAGCACCCGCAAACGCTAGAAGGCCAACGACGGCGGGCGGGGCAGCGAGATGGAGGCTCGCACTCGCCCAGGGGACCCCAGCCAAGAACGGAGCGGCAGGGCGGCAGGGTGCAGATGCGTGGAGGAAGACAGGAGAGCGAGGTGCGCTCGGCGGATCGACAGCTGGCACCTGGGGGAAGATAAAGCACAGATTCTCGCTCACCTGAGCCACAATGGCAGCAGGAAGGGCGATGGAGGGGAGAATCACGCTCGCCACGCCAACAGAGGCGGTGGGAAAAGAGGCCCAGTGGCGACTCGCGTTCGCCAGACTGATGCCGTCGGCGAGAGGGAAGGCTGGACGAGGCGAGACACTCATCGCCTGGCCATCGGCAGCAAGGAAGGGGAAAGGAGGAATGGTCACTATCCACAGCGAGGCGTAAACCTTACGAGACACGCCGAGGAGATTGGGAGAGGAGTCACCACTCGCCGGCTCGGCGGTGGGAGCGGGCGGGAAGGGAGGACAGTCGGTGGACACAGCAAGGCGAGGCGCGCGGAGACCAGCAAGAGAGCAGGGCCAGGAGCGAAAGCCTGGCGTACGGGGCTGAGCGGGCACGAGAAGCCAGAGAAGGCCTGGAACGAGCCAAGCAAGGGGGGATGTATGGGAGACCGTCAAGAGGGGCGAGTGAAGCTTGGGGAGAGGGACGGGGGGGCGCGGCCACAGCACCAAGAATGGAGGTGTCAGCCAGGTTCTTGGGCAATCAGCGGTCAAGGCCTTCACTTAAGAACTACTTGATGCAAGTAGGAAACGTGAAGTACCGCTGTGACCGGAACGGCATGGACCCGATAGACTTCTTCCTGAGCCTGCCAAAGACCTTGGAAGGGGAAGCCGAAACCTTGTACTGCAAGAGGATGGAGGAGTTGCTGTGGAGGGCAGGGAAGTACGCAGAAGACCCCACGGAAGCATTCTTGGAGCGGTTGCAGCGGCAGTTCCCCGGGCACACGGCGGAGAGGATAAGGGAGTTTTAGGAGTTCAAGAGAGGGAGGGCCGAGTCGTTACTGGCACACCACAATCGGGTGATCAACGTAGCCGAGGACGTGAGATGCTCTGACAGCAGCCTCCTCATCAGTAAGTTCCTGGGAGACCTGGATGAGGCGCTGGGTGGCGGGTTGAGGATGAGGGTGTATGAGCTGGGAGCGGAGGCGAGCTTGGATGAGGTGTTTGAGTTGGCAGAAAGGGTGGAGCTCGCGCAGAGAAAATATGAGGCTTACCTGCCGAGGCCGATAGAGAGAAGCCGCAGGCCGACTTGGGCGGCGTCAATAATACCAGAGGACAGGGGGAACGCAGAGGAGCGAGGAGAGGCAAGAGCTGACACCAGGATATCCCACAGGTGCGGCCAGCCAGGGCACATCCGCAGAGATTGCAAGAACTGTGATGGCTGTGGAAAGCCGGGCCATCGCAGGCAAGAGTGTCCTGATGCTGTGTGAGATATGCAAGAAGAAGGGACATGAGGCCAATGAAAGTTATCAGAGGGAAGGAGGAGCAAGGAAAACCCCAAAGGAGCTGTAGCGGCAGATCAGCAGGCTGCAGGCGCAGCTGCAAGCAACAGGACCGAGATGGGGGGCCGAGGCAGGGATGTATGCTAGGGACGAGGAGGGAGAAGAGGTGGAAGAAGACGTGCAGTGCGCACTCATGGCATGGAGGGGAAGAGAGGAGATGGGGCTGAGGAGCGGAGGGAGAGACGGCAGGCAGGAGTAGAACAGGAAGATTTGGGAGCAGGGGCATAAACCAGAGGAGCCAGTGTTGGTATAGCCGCCGGCACGCCATCCACAGGAGAGGCTGGCGTGTTAGACCTCAGTGCTGCTAGTGGAAAGGGGAGCGATGGAGGTGGAGGGGGAGAAGGTGAAGATAGCCATCATAAACACGGGAGCACAGGGTGTGATGCTGGGCAAGGGGATGGCTGAGAGGTTGGGGCTCATGGCTCCAAAAAGGCATGTGGAGAGGGGGATGTTGGTGATGATAGCAGAAGGAGGGGAGCCGAAATGGATGCCTTGCACCCGGGCACCTATAGAAGTGACACTGCTGCCAGGAGGGGAGCATGAAACCAAGATCAGGATGAAGTGCGACATCTCGGAGTCAGAGGACTTTGACGTGCTAGTGGGCACCAAGCTGATGTTTGCGGTGGGAATGACGATCTGCACCTAGACTGAGAAGGTAGAGTTTCGGACGTGGTACTGGAAGGAGGGACCGTTAGGAGAGCTGCCAGTACGGTTCGTGAAGGTGGAACCCAAGAGGGCGTACCAGGCCATGGCAGGACAGGAGAGGGAGGCAGGAGAGGCGGGGGAGCAGAGGGGAGCAACTGGGACCAAGGAAGGGCCTAGGATGAGGAGGATGGATGACCCAAGGCAGCAGAGTGGCTGGCAGCAGCCCATCCACTTGGTGGAACTGTTCGGAGGGATAGTGGCGGGATTAGCAGCGGTGGTAAGAAGTGGGATTGCAGTGCAGAAGTGGGTATACGTGGATCAGGCGCCAGTGGTGAGAAAAATGGCTGAGCACCACGCCTGGAAGCTGCAGGCAGAATTCCCAGAGCTCTTGAGTGCGGGGGTGATCCGTGAAGCCATGAGGGGAAGCAGCCATGATGTGGTACGGATAACAGAGGCAGAGGTGGCCAGCTGGGGGCAAGTAGATCTGCTGGTGGCAGGATGGGAGTGCCAAGGGGTGTCTTGGGCTGGTAAGGGAAGAGGAAGGGAAGACCCCAGGACGCAGCTGATGGAGGACCTGTTCCGCATCATGGAGTGGCTGCAAGAGAGGCAGGGCAGGGTGGCCTACGAGTGGTGAGGGAAAGGATCAAGGGGCAGTTGGGAGAAGGGGTGAGCAGTGATGCGGCCAAAATGGGGTCACTTGCACACCGATTGAGGATGTATTGGCAGAACATTGTCCCGGCACCGAATCTGTAGGAGGAGATAAACGGGGTAATAAGAGCGCCAGGAAGGAAGGTGCAAGACATCCTTGAACCAGGACGTACCCCATCGCCAGTGGGCCAGAAGGGCTACAGAAGACATTACCCCTGCAATCAGGTGGGGCAGGACCGACGGGTGTTGCCCACCCTGGTCACCTATGCAGGAGCAGCAGGGTATGCGTGGGCAGCAGGGGAACCGGGCCCAGGACTGATATACAATCACAAGAAGCAGTGATGGGAGGAACCAACCGTGCTAGAACGGGAGCTGGCCATGGGGTATGGGGAGAATGCGACGGCAGCTCCCGGGGTGAGCGAAGCTGACAGGAGAAGTGCACTAGGGAACGCCATGGACGGCAACATTATGAGATGGCTGATTCAGCGGATATGGAGAGAGACGGTGTTGAGCTGGGGGTAAGAGGAAGAAAAGGGGGGCGTGGAATCGTGCCCTCAGGGAGCATGGACATGCCGAGAGGAGGAGGGAGAGACGTGGAAGGTAGGGGAGGCAATGAGTGAGGAAGGGAAGGAGGCCATGCAACGGCTGTTGACCAAACACAGAAAGTGCTTCGCCTTCAACCTCCAGGAGTTGGGAAGGTGCAAGGTGAAGGAGATGGAGTTGAAGCTGAGCAGTGTAGAGCCCGTATTCCACCGGAGGAGGAAGATGCCACACGGGGATGAGGAAATCTGCAAGGAGAAAATCAAGGAGCTGCTGGAAGCTGGGCTGGTTAGACGGTCCGAGTCGGAGCACGCCACGCCGACGGTAGTAGCTGCAAGGAAGGATCTAACGGGGGAGGTCCTGAGCAGGAGGATGTGTGAGGATTACCGGGCCCTCAACAAGATCACGGTAGCGGACAGGTACCCCATGCCGATGGCCGAGGAGATATTTGACAAGTTGGCGGATGGGGTCTTGTTCACGACGTTAGACCTATGGCAGGGGTTCAATCAGATCAAGATCAGAGAAGAGGACATTAAGAAAACGGCCTTCCATGGGCCGGATGGGCTCTGCGAGAGGCTCTACATGCCATTCGAGCTGCGGAATGCGTCAGCTGTGTTTCAGAGGGTCATGGATACGGTCCTGCAAGACGTAGAATGTGCAGAATGCTACATAGATGACGTGGTGATCTTCAGTACGACAGAGCAGCAGCATTTGCAGGATGTAGAGAGGACCCTGGCGGCAATAGAAGCCACGGGACTCACATGTCACCCCAAGAAATGCAGGTGGGGTGAGGAGACGGGGCTACGAGGTGAAGGGGGGGCAGATCGGGATCCAGCAGGCCAAGGTGGAGGTTTTGGACAGGCTGCGGGAGCCAAAGTACAAGTCGGGGCTGAGAGCAATGTTGGGCTTCCTCAGCTACTACAGGAGATTTGTGCCCAACTTCAGTAAACGTGCAGCAGCATTGAATGGGCTGCTGAGGGAGGATAGGGCGTGGGAGTGGTGCAGGACCTTATGACGGCAGTGAAGACGGCGTCCGTGTTGCGGCTGCCAGCAGCAGACCAACCGTTCACCCTCTACACCGACTGGAGCAGCCAAGGGATGGGAGGGATACTCTATCAGGAGGTGAAGGGGGGGGAGAAGGTAGTGGCCTACGCGAGCAGGAGTTGTAACTCGGCGGAGGCACAATACAGCTCGTACATAGGGGAGGGACTGGCGGCAGTGTGGGCTGTAGGGCATTTCAGAGAGTACCTACAGGGACGGGAGTTCACCTTGGTAACGGATCACCAGCCACTGACATGGCTAATGACAACGCTGGGACTGACAGGCAGGAACGCATGGTGAGAAATGAAGCTGCAAGAGTATGATTTCAAGATCAAACATAGGCCAGGAAAGACCCTACAACATGTGGACGGCCTCTCCCGGAACCCCCCACAGCTGGAACCGACAGTGACCTTGACACTCTTGGCAAGGTAGGTAGAACTGAGCGGGGCCAAGGGAAGTAGGGGGCCAGCAGATATTTGGGAGGATGAACAGGCCATGCGGTGGGTGAAGGGGGAGACAGGGGAGGATGAGGAGATGATGGAGAGAGTGAGGGCGAGGGGACATCACTACAGGTGGCATCAACAGCAGTTACAGATACAAACCGAGGATGGATGGAAGCTGGTGCCAGCACCTAGTGACAGAGAGGCAGTGATCAAGGAGGTGCATACAAAGCTAGGGCATTTCGGGCATGAGAGGTCAGTGCATCTGCTGAAGACGGAGTGGTGGTGGGAAGGGATGCGGAGGCAAGTGAAGGGTTGGGTGGAGGGCTGTGAGGCATGCCAGGAGCAGGGCAAACCTCACCCAAGCCAAGGCTGAGTTGCAGTCCCTGCCTATCCGAGGCCTAGGCTTTAGGTGGTCCTTCGATCTGGCTGGGGAACTGCCCTTGAGCCGGGGGGGTAAGCAGTACATCGTGCTCATGGTGGAGCACGTGAGCAAGTGGCTAGA